TTTATAGTGATCTGCTATTTTACATTAACAATAGCAGGAGGAGTTTGAAAGCAGCTTATTGTGGAATGAAGCTTTAAGGATGTAAGATGGTACATGTGACATAAGAAAACAGTATATGTAAGAAAACTGGGAACCCTGTGTTGTCATGCTCACTTATGCTTTCATGCTAAATGTGTATGATCTACTGTATGTTTTGAAAACTGAGGCTGTTGTAGAGTATATCTACATCATAAATGTCCACTTTTTACCCGTCATTGCCAGACTGTTTTAATCCCAGTAGCAACAACAACCAGGAATTTATTAACATTTTTTAGATGTCCATATGGTGTAAGATAATAGTGTGGAATATATGTCCATATCTTGAGACATTCCTTTAGAGAATAGTGTCCCACTGCCAATAATGTAGACCTTTCTTCAGTCTAATATTGAGAAAAATCCTTTCGTTTTTTTCTCAAGGATGCTTTTTTTGAAGTCTCTTCCTTTTCCAAACCTCTATAAATGTGCCTGGTGGCAATTTACAACCGAAAACGTGCTGTGCTCTCTTTCTGTGACATCTCTTATTTACTGTTCTGGGCTATTAATATGTCCTCAGTTTTAAATGGAGGTATCCTAATACACCTTTACTGCTTGAACTGTACATGTAAGGAAAAACACTTTTGTAACATTCTGCAACCGTGCACTGGCAGTGCGCAAGTTCCTGCATTTCAGTGTCGCATCACTTTCAGCAGGTGTTTGCTTTAACAGCATACAGTATGCCTGATGCCCGAGAGCAGGCATCATGCAACAGCGCAGCCACAGTGTGCGCTGGGTGCTGGAAATGGCAGCACACTTGCCTTCTGCCGCTCCACAAGGAGAAGAGTCTGTTCACACTCATCAACACATAAGCAGAACTGTGAATAGAATGCAAGACAGAGAGTGGGAAACACAGTGAGAGTCCAGTTTGTCAGACATCCACTCACTGCTACTGTATATATACTGTGCTGTAGTATAATCTGTGTCATACAGTACACACTACCAGTTGGATTACCAGACTTAACTGTACACATACTGTTCCCATAAAAAATGATGTTCTGCAACTGTCTCTATTTGAAGGTTTGGTGGCTGAGTATTTATATGGACGTGTTTCACAAGCCTGGTGTGCTGCCGCTCTGTTCACTGCTACACCTGAGGAGAAAGTATTCATGGGCTTTCTGAAGTTTCACTTTTTTGTGGGGGTGGGCGGGGGCTGATGAATCTGAGCTGTATTTTATAGTGTCCTGATCTCTAAGTGGTGGATATATTTTACTTAGCTGGATTGAATCTCTTATGTTGATTCTGTCTGGTGGTGAAAATTGCCATATTAAAGCCACAAGCTTTACATATACAACTGTGTGTTGAACAGTGTCATTTCTATGCAAGGACCTCGGTCCTTGTGCTTTGGCATACATACAATATGTTGGAAATAAGAATAACATTTAAATGATTATGATATAATTCTACAATCAAATATAATTGCCAACTGCCTCAGCTGTGTTTTTGTGTTTTAATTAGGGAAAACTACCATGGTAATAAGCTAAATTAAGATCACCATGGTAAACATTACCTGCTTAGTATCACCATGTCAGAATAGCGTTTACGTAAAAAGCCTCACAGAGCTGTTGGTGTGGCTGTAGACAGTGTCAACATGGACCAGTAGCTGGTGATTACAGCTGCTATCACCACTGTATACTATTTTTCTGACGAGACAAAGACTTTTGCTTGCTTAGTAGTTAAAGTGGCAGGTAGAGCAGACTAATCAGCACAAATCCAACTTAAAGGTGCATGTGACTTATTTTACACATCAAAGTCTGTCATCAAGCTGCTGAGGTGTTCAGCTGCACATGTGATAACAGGTTGTTTGACACTAGTGGCCTGAGGTTACATAGATGCCAGTAGAAGTACACCCAAATTCTATATCCAGTTTGGAAGAGTTGCATTCTGGGTAACATAGGTATCAACTTTTTACTAAGAATGTGTGGTAAAATCTCTGCTGCATCAATTTTGATCCTTTTTAAAACTGTCCATCATGAACCAGTGATGCTACAGGAGTCCAGTATTAAATGAATCCTCTTTCATTACTAACGATTCATTACTAATGATTTTGTCCATATCATGTTAGTCTTTAAAGACATATGGTTTAAGCCCCAAAAGCAAAGGGACCTAATGTTGATGTACTAGTTTGTCCGGCATGCTAAGCCAGATATCTTTGCGCTTTTTGGCCAGATGGACATGACATTTGATACTGATATTAAAGAAGGACTGCTAACTCTTTTACTGACCTTACTGACCATTAATCCCACGCAGTCAAGGCTGGACAATCAGGCCAAATGTTTCACTTTTCACAAGTGAAAAAGTCAAAAAGTCATGCAGGCTGTCAATCACTTGTGCTCATTTTAATGACATTATTTCAGATCTCAGACCTTCATCAGATAAACGTATTGATTACAAACTACATTAGTAAATAATGATGTAACTTACTTTCCCTTACATAGCCATACATATTTTGGCCTTTTCTTCATTTGCTCTACATAGATCTGTTTACAGCAACCATCTCTGAGGAAACACTTGAACCAGCACCAGTCATTATTTTCATTTTCCAAAGTGTAAAGTAAATGCACTTGAAAGCAGCATAAGGCAAGACAAGCTTTCTCTCCGTTCCTTCTAGAATCACTGTGTTTGTACACGCCTATTACATTATGTAACAGTTACTCTGGCTGTGCAGCAGATGGAGACATTCACTACATTATCATTCATCCCACATCGAGCATTTCTTTGTTGTCTCTGGTACAAAGAAAATGGCTGAATTTTAATTGACACAGTTATATTTACATGGATACCTTGCGTTACATAAATATGATGACACAAGCCATCATTTAATGCTTTTGATTTTTACATTCCTGCACACATCTTTCAGTTTTACATCCAGTCAGGAGTCGGACACACCCAGTGTTGTGACAATGCTCATAAAACAGTAGGGAGAGATTTGATGAAAATGGAGGCGTTTAGTTTTAGGTTTGGTTTAATAATCTAGTGCTGCTCCTAACCCGTGGAGCTGGATAGTAAATGGTGTGTGTGCACTGAATATGTCTGCAAGCCATGAGTGCACCTTTGTGATCACACAGGCTGTGTCCCAGCATCCCTTCTCACAGAGGATGAAACCACACACCCAAAGACACTTTGTCTGTCTGCAGACACAGCCACACTAAGGCACCGGTGTGTAACGTTGTGTTTGTTAGGTGTTGTTGTGGTTCATAGATTATGTAACAGAAATTATTTATTCATTTCAGTCATTTCTTCAAACAGAACATATATATGAGACTTGTTTTTGCTAAAAAAAAAAAAAAAATCCCAGTCAATGTCTACCTCCTCCTCAGGCATCCTCGTCTCCTCTGAGGTTGCTCCCTCACCCAGACTGGTGCTACATAACTTGTTGCTAGGGTAACCTAGCTTTGAAAGAAGCTTGAACCTTAATACATTGTATGCGATCATTCTTTTTTAGTGAATGATGGAGAGTGAAGAACTGCTTTGAAAGCTGTGGCTGCAACAAGGACAGGAGGCATATGCATGATGTCAGCTGGGTACAGCAAGGTGTGGGGCCCTGTCAGTCTAGTGATAGTGTTTCTAATTCCTCAGAACAGAAGAGCAACAGTGAGGAAAGCTGTCTTCTTACATAATTGAATAGCATGGTATAAGCGGTTATGCGTTGCATTTTCGTTAAGGAAACTGTCATGTACCTGCCTCACAAAAGTGCACTATGGTTCCTCCTTCAAACAGATTAGTCATACACTGTGCTATCAATCGAAGCTAAGTGAATGAACAGCAGCCTTCAGGTCTCCTATTTAGTCTGTCTCTCTGTGTGCCTTTCAGCTCAGCTGACCACAGAATGATCCAGCTGCTGTGGAGCAGACAGTGAGTGCTAGAGGTTCATATAGCAGGACAAAGGGAAGGACAAGATGATAAGACTGGCACTGAGGCCATGCAGACATGGGTCATACAGAGAATGCCAGGCAGGCAGCGAATAGAAAAGCTTTCACGTGGAAGTCAACGTGCCATTTCTGACACACAGAAGCCTCAGGTGGAAATATAGAGAGAAGAAGAAAACAATTCATAGAAACAACGACATGACAGAAACACAAGGTGCAGTGAGAGGGACTTTTGTAAGCTGCAGGAGCATCAGTGTAACAAATTCCTGAGCCATGGCAATGCTATATTTATCATCATTCACCACCAAAATATCCACACCTGCTCGTCTCAGCTTAAAGGAAAAGGCTGGTGTTTTTTATTTTTTTTCTTACTATCAACAAATCCCAAACATTAGTCTGTCTCTTTATATATTTTTTATTCCACCATCTTGTGAGACTCTTAATCTTTAGCCCTAAGGTTCCAACTTAATAGGCATCTATCTTTTGACAGATCACAAATCTTTTATTTCAATTTCTACAAACAGATCACTACTTTCCTAAAACAGCTGGACCCTGACCTTTTATTTCTATTATAGTTAGAACCAAGAAGTGAATACTTATGGATGTAAATTGGATGAGTCATCATTATAAAATAATGTGTTGTTTCTATTGAAGTAACATGAAATCCCATAAAATAAGAAGCACTGTGGCATGTGGGGGCATGTGTAAGTGTGCTTACAGTGAGGTCAACTTGTTTATTTATCCATCAGATTTCTGAATTTGACTCCCCTCTCCCTTCCTTCCATCCAAGCTTGGCAGTGACCTCATTCTTTGTCCAGAGATGGATCACAAGGCTGCAAACACACATATGCTCACACACACAGAACCATATGACATCACCCAAGCAGTCATGGGGCGGAGACTGGCAGCGTCAGGATGACATCACCCACACATACACAGCTCCTCTCTCTCCATAAGTCGT